TGTTTGGATTTTTTCTTGCTCTTAACTTTAAGCCTGGCATCCTAAGGATCATCTGTGGGTCATTACAGTTTAGCTATCAGTCACTAATTGATCCGAGTTGTACTGAAGCCCCTGAGCCAGGAAGGTTTTCATTTTTTGCTGCATGATCTGTGTGGCTTGGATACGGCTTTCACATTACAGGGAGTTTACAAGTTTATTGCACATTTAGCCAAGGGCTAATAGCAAAGCAGTTTCCTCTCCAGTTGCTCCTAAGAGTGTGGCCTTAGGTAAGAGCAGATTATTCTACACCATCTGGCATCCTTTGCTGTCTCTTTCTGATCTGCCTCTATTGGTATCATACTATGTTTCTGGCCCCCAGTAGCTGTTAGCTGATTTTTATTTTGAACAATTCCTTTAAGGCATGAATTGCTCCACTATCCAAAAAAAAGTCAGGCTCCTCAGGCCAGGGCCAGCATGTTGCCAGTCTTTGAGGTTTTCTCTGACCCCACCTTCACAGAAGCTCTGAATTAAAGAACAGTATTTGGGACTGACAGGAGCTGCCAATTGGCTTCCAAGCCTCCTAGAATACCTCTCCTGAAACAGAGTTGGGTGAGTGTATGGGAGTTGCCTCTACTTCAGATCTTATAGCCTACCACTATTACTACTGAATTCTGTAGATTTTGAATAAATGGTCCTCAATTTGTTATAAATTCTTTTATTATTCTGCAGAAACTTTGAATAATAAGTCTTTCTAATTTTGACCAATGAGATACTGCTCTGGGGAGTTCCACGGGACTCTTCACATTGCCATCCACAAAACCTTCCCATTTTAACTTTCAACTGACTGCAGAAACTGGTGATCACATTTGCAAATTTAACCTACCTACAAAGCTGATTGTAAATAGAAAAAAATCATTTCTAATTTTTTAAAGCTAAAAGTACTATCTAATTTTAAAAATTGTATACTATCTTCTCTCATTACCTCAGGTAACAGAAAATTGTCTACAAATAGATACAAGGAGAAAGTAATACATATAAAAATTGCAGTCTTGTTCAATTTCATGTGATATTAAGTGTTATTGTATCCAGGGCTGGAATACTCATAAATAAATAGGATGTCAAATTTTTGAATAAATGCTTATTCATATGTTCAACACTTTTTCCAGAAAGGCTCAGGCAACTCTGTTCAATCAGAAGGTAAAGTATAGAAAAATGTGAATTACTTCAGTAAGCTACTATCTTCTGGGAAAGTCTTCAATTACATTCTATTATTCTTTGAATTGATATACTTCAAAGGAAGGAAAAACTTTTATATCTTTTTCCCCTTTATGGCTTTTCAATGAAATTTCACAGATTTTCTATCATTTTATATACCAAATCTTTGAAATACAGACATTAGAATCTAAATTTTACCAAAAAGGGAATCAAGAGGCAAAGTACTTAAGTGACTTCCAAGGTCACACAATTCATTAATGATAAACCTAGAACTAGAAGCAACGAAAGGACTCCTTAACATCCAGCCTTCAGCTCTGTGCACCAAATCGAGTTAGATAAGCTAATGTTCTTCCTCGAAAATTGAAAAAAACTTGCTTTCCTGGTATATACTTAAAAGTGGACTTTAATTCACAGGTACTTATTATGCTCCTTGGGAAGACATCCTTTTCTGAGTATTATAAAAATAAAGCATTGATGATTCAGGTCTACAGTATATTCTATTAAACATTGTTGGCCATTGTCTTAGATCAGGCAGCTATAATAAAATACCATAGACTGAGTGGCTCAAAAAGCAAATTTACTTCTCACAATTCTGGAAGCTGGAAGTCCAAAGATCAGGGTACCAACATGGACAGATTCTGGTGAGAGCCCTCTTTCTAGTTTGTACTTGGTTACCTTTTTGCTGTATTCTCACATGGTGGGAGAGAAAGATCAGTATCTCTCTTGTCCCTTCCTATAAAGTACTAATCCCATTGATGAGGGCTCCACCCTCATGACCTAATTACCTCCCAAAGGTCCTACCTCCAAATACTATCACATTAGGGGTCAGGGCTTCAAAGTCTGAATTTGGGAAAAATAAACATTCAGTCCATAGTAGCCATCTTTATTAAAAAATAGAATGTTTTTACATGACAAAAACATAGTCTTTTACATTAAAAAATAAATGAAATAAAGTTATATCAATTGAAAAGAAATTTTAAAAATACCAATTTTATTTTTTAAAGATTTATTTATGTGAGTGAGAGGTGCAAGTGGGGAGAGGGGTGCAGGGGGGAGAAGGAACACAGAGCAGAGCAAGGGAGAAGGAGAGAATCAGACTCCCTCCCCACTAAGCAGGGTGCTCAAGGCAGGGCTCAATCTCACAACCCTGAGATCATGACCTGAGCCAAAATCAAGAGTCAGATGCTCAACTGACTGAGCCACCCAGGTGCCCCAATATAATACCAACTTTAGAGAATAATTTTTCTTATTTCTAGTAAACCATTGTGTGATATAAAATGTATCTGATGTAAAGAGAGAATGTCTGCAAACAGAAATTTTATGTGAGACACCATAGACTTGTCTACTTTTCTTTCTACATTGTCCTAAGACCAAGAGGAAGAAGTTATAATAAAAAGAAAAATAAAATATTAGAAATCCTTTTTTTAAGATTTTATTTATTTGAGAGAGAGGGAGAGTACAGACAGAGAGTGAGAAGCAGACTCCCCATTGAGCTGAGAGCCCAACTGGGGCTAGATCCCAGGACCCTGACTGAGATCACAGCCCAAGCCAAAGGGAGCTTAACAGACTGAGTCACCCAGGTGCCCCAAAATGTTATAAATCTAACAGCAACTTAGTATTGAACATTATTAAGTCAATATTTATAACATCAACAATTTTATAGAAATACTAGGTAAAGAAATAATTCTTTCTGTATAATTGGGATAATAAATTTTCTTTTTCTTTTCTAGGCAATGTTTGCTCTAAAGCAAAATAGCTTTTCTTATTTAAATCTTTTTCTCCTTTGCCATGAACAGCCTTCAAAAAAGAGTTTTTAAATAATTAGATTTGGCTTATTTGCACATCTAATCTTAAGTGGGTCAAAAAACTGGATCAAGAGAAGAATATGAACAGAAAAGAACCCAGGAAATGATTACTGAACAAAAAGACAAGCATAAGGGAAAAATATTTTCTTCCTGGAACAAAAACTCAGGTTTAGAAATTTCTTTCATGACTGGAAGATTGTTGGGGATTAAATTTCATGAAAAATAATCAAATCCTTCTCACAAGTGAAAGTTCCACTTGATCTTAATGACCAAAATATTGTGTTCTGAATAAAAATATGGAAAATTATTTGGACTGCAAACTTAAAAACGAAAGAGAACTTTCTAAGTGAGAAAGGTTATCTATCGGGGACACTATCACATTTCAAAGCAGCTAAAAGTTTTTTACCTGGGTATATAGGCAACATTCCACACCAATAAATACTCCCTCTCGTGCTCAAAACACTTTTTTCACTTGGCTTCCAGCACAACCAGTCTTCTTACTTTTCTTCTAGACACTGGTAGGTCTTTCTCAGTCTTTAGCTGGTTCCTCCTTTTTTCTTCTACTTCCTAATGTTGGCTTACACAACAGGACTCAGTTCTTTGCTGTCTTTATCTTCTTTTTTCTAGCAGCACTAAGTGATCTCCTAAGATGTCATGGCTACTCATTAATGATGCCCAAATTAATTTTGCCAATCCAAATATGTACCCTGAACTCTGGGCCTGGATATCGCCTGTCTACTCAGCACCTCCAACCTAATATGGCCAAAAGAGAGCTTCTGAATCCACACCCCTCCAAATCTGTTCCTCCTCCAGTATGCCAGGATGTCAGAAACCTAGGAGTTACCCTTTACTCCTCTCTTTCCCTCTCTTCATATCCAAGCTAACACAGATCCTATCTTCTCTACGTTTAAAGTAGAACCTAAATCCACTCTCCAACTACCTCCCCATCATCTACCACACTAGTCAAAGACTCTTGCCTAGAACTCTAATAACTTAACTGGTCTCTCTGCTTTAACCCTTAATCTTCTTCAGTATAACCTTCAAACTACAGCTCCATACAGGTAAATCAAATCATATCACTCTGCTCTCAATCCTTCTAATGGCTCCCTATTATCTATCCATAACACATCATGAACTACTCTCTGGTTTCTCTATTTCATTCTTACCACTCTTCTCTTTTAATTACTATATTGTAAACTTACTGGCCTCTCTGCTAGTCCTCAAACATGCCAATTAAGTTATCATTTTTAGGCCTTTTACAACTTGCTTTTACCTCTGCCCAGAACGCTCTTTCCCCAAATTTTCACATGGCTCATACACTTATTTCATTAGGGCTTCTGCATAAGTCACCTCCTCAAACAGGCCTTAAAGTAGCAACCCTCTCAATATTCTGTCCCTAATCCTTGCTTCTTCCTTATAGCACCTCATACTATATTTTTGCTTATATTTTTATTGTCTGCCTTTTCCAAAGGGATGTAGTAAATCTACAAAAGCAGTACTTTGTATTGGTCACAGCTATACAACCAGCACACAAAAGAATATCTGCCACACAGTAAGCTAGATAAATATATATTGAATCAAAAAATGAATTGGATTCTAGTCTGAACACTACCTAATAATACAGAGTTTTGTTTTGCTTTAAAGAAAAAACAAGAACCATAAGAATGTGCCCTTAAAAACGAAAGTAAAATCAGCTTAATTTCTCTCAAGTGATATGAATTTTACTAGAAGAGAAGTTACTCGGTAGTAGTGAGGCTGAATTTTCAGCAAAATATTCTAGCTACTGTAAAAATTTTTTTAAAGCTTCAGAATTATCCCCGAAAATAAAGTCTGTTTACTTGGGCCTGACCACTTAAAAATGGGCATATAACATAAACATACACACACAAAATAGTATAGTTTTCTGAAATCAAACTGGACTAAATAGGAACATTTTAGATTATCCCGCAATCCTCTCCACTTCCTTCTCTTATCAAATTGCTACTAGTGATAAGGCCCAGGAAGCTACCAATGAGTTAGAGTTAGAAATGTTATATCCTGTTAACTTGAAGATGCTGACACTGTTGTTCACAATAAGGAAAATGGCAATATCCCCAGAGGTTTCAGAGGCAGGGCATTTTGCATGAGCATGTCTGTGGCTTAACTGCCACTATATATTACCTGCTCTCTTCCATCAATGCAACTTACAGTCGACAAGAATGTGAAAAATCCTGTCACATAACAGATATATCTACATATAATTTGGTGGAAGGCAGAGCCTGATGATGAAGTCATTTTTTACTAGTGGGCTAAAGAATCTAGATCCTGAAAAATAAAGTTAGCCACACTGAGGCTCTCCTGGGGCACGCATAGAAGGCCAGTCCAAATACTCCCTGAGGATGGCAATCTGTTGATGCAAAGATAATGGAAACTCAAGTTGAACCACTTGGCCTCTCTAGCAACAAGGAAAAGAATTTAGTCCGGTATGGTCAGTCGTTTCAGTCAAAATTCGCTTAATGTTGATGCTGCAGTTTAAGCCCTCTGATCAGGGGATAGAAGAATGATGAATACTACTTCTTATGAAAAGTTTCAAGCCTTGTAACCCCTCTGAAAATAAATAGTCCAAATACCAGTTCCATTTCTTTCCCTGCAGGCACAAAAAACGGAAAATTACTCATCAGATATTTACTATGCATATTCTCTACCTCTTCTTCTTTGCCTAGGAAAAGTTCCCAATGTCCTGAATGCACATACCAAGAGTTAGCTGAGAGGGGCCAGGTTCCTAACTGGAACTCAGGCACTAAAGTAACATCCAAACCAGAAAGTACCCAAACTTTAAGGGTTAAACATTCCTTTTATTATACTGGCAAAAAATTTTAGCTGTTCAACTGAACAAGTATTATAAAATGGGTCATCATCCCCATGCTCTACAAATTCAACATCTAAAATGGATAACACGGGAGCAGAAATTATTATATTACTGCCTCCATTAAATATGTACACAGCAGAGTTTCTATAATAATGAGACAACTGTGTTAGGTTTTGTTAAATCACCCTCATTACAGTCACACTTTGAATACATGCAACTGTACTATAAAATGAGACAATGCACAGATCCAAGAGCAAGAGTCAAACTGTGAATAGCTCTATCTTAGAGAAGACTGTAGAGGGTATGTGCCAACAAATTCACATAAAAGTCACTGGAAATACTTCAGGAGGCAAACATTTCACTCTGACTTTGTGGAGGCAATAGGCTTAAGACTGGGGGAAAGGAAAAGTATAAATTTTTTGATGAAATGAAGCTATAGTAAATCCCTGAACGTGACGAAAATAAATTTATTTACCCGAATAGAGCTCACGCTTACTGTCCTTTCTTCTGGCCATTCCTTAAAAAACAAAAAAAAAGGTGGGGAGATAGGAGATGAAAATGTTTGGTTACCAAAGATTACCAGAAAATTAAGATGGCTCTTCACTGTCTGATTCATTTGCTACATTTTATTCCTACTATCACTCCAGCATTTCTTCTGAGTAAACATTTACAATAACCTTCCACATTTCTCCCTACTAGCATAAACAGAAGGAAAATAAGATTACAGTCAGTAAAGTGAGTACCATTTTGCTAATTTATGGCCTCAAAATCTACTCAGCCACTAGAATGAAGATAAAAGATGTTAGAGAAGGCATCTTCTGAGGTAAAGGATACCTGAACTGAGTTTTGAAGCATGGGAGGACGTCTGGTGAGGCAGTCTGTGTACACAGTAGATTCTATAAAAACTGATATGAAAACTCAGACCTAGTTGATCCCATTTATTTCCCATCTTTAATTATCACCCACTGTGTTTCAATGAAAAGTCATTAAATCTAAAACAAACATTTTTTATATATTCCTAAGAATAAACTAGGCCTATTAAGCTATGTATAACATAATGTGTTCTTAACACTTAGAATTTTTTATTTTACTACGATTGAGTTTTAGATGTAGGCAGATTTTGATCATACATCATTTTTATAAACATGAAATGGTAACTATAAACAAAATTAAGTAGTGAAAGTATTTCTAAAATTTTACATTTGGAGTCCTACTCTTCTGAATTACTTTTCTACTCAAGAGCTGTAGATAACTATGTTTTTTCACACAATATCATCTTTACTGCCAGAGTGTTGGCAATGCAATGTTTCTTAAAAGATACTAGTGTTGGGGTCCCAATTACATAAACCTAACCTACTTTTGGTTCCTGCTTCAAGGAAAGTCCATATCATGTATGATATACTGCTTCCTTGCCCTCTTCCTCTAAGACATTTGGTTTTGGGGGCTTAAAAGAGTGTTCCAATATTTTCTCCAAGTTTTTTCCACCTGGTGACAACCATCCTGCAAGGTCTGATTCTGGCAATCTGCCTGGGTGCACTGAAAAACAGCAAATGACAACTATATTTTTATTGCTCCCTGGCTGACATTGCAAGATGCATCCTGATCTCTGAGAAGTTAGAAAGTGAAAAGAACATGTGGTTTTACTGATTAAATATACTCCATGCTTACAAATTTTATATTTATTTCTCTAGTTCCAACTTCTCACCTGAACTCCAAGCCCAGCTTCAAACTGCCTATACTTAGACTTCCTGGATGTCTATCAGGAATCTCAAACTTAAGGTCAAAAGAGAACTTGAGTCTCAACTTGCCCTCCCACCAAACCAAAATAACCTCTTCTGTTCTTTCATTAGTATTCCTCTTATTAATACATGGAAACACCACCTACCTAGTTGCTCAGTTAATAAAACTCAGAAATCCTTTTCTTCATTCCTACTTTTTTTACTGGTTTCAGAGGTAGAATTTATTGATTTATCAGTCGCATATAACACCCAGTGCTCATTACATCAAGGGCCCGCCTTAATGCCTGTCTCCCAGTTTCCTCAAGTTCAGCGTCTCTTATGGTTTGCCTCCTACTTCTAAAGAAGCCATTCATTAAATCCTGTCTGTTCTACCTCTACAATATATCTCAAGTCAGTCCAATTCCATCCATTTCACTACCACCACATTTATACAAATCTCTACCAGTATCTCTGTCCAGACTCTACCAACAGCCTAACTGCAGTCACTTGGGCCTCTTATAACTCTATCCTCCACAAAAAAAGCTAAATTGATCTCTATTAAACATAAACTCAGACCGTATTATGACTTTGCTTTAAAAATTTTCAATTGTTTCCCATGGCACTCCCAACAGATCTATAAGAGAGATAGCCCCTGAATCTCTGCCGTCTTATTTCATTCCATTCTCACTCTTGTTCCTTAAGCTATAAGCCATACTGGCCTTCCTTTTTTTCCTTGAACTCCTTGAGCCACTGTACCATTTCTACCACCTAGAATGCTCTTATTCCAGCCATTCTTCAGCTGGCTTATTCTCATCTTTTAGAAGAAATCTTAGACCAAATGCCACCTCCTCAAAACCTTTCTTGAACACCCATTCCTGGCAACTCCTCAGTCACTCCTTCTCTTACCCCACCCTGTTTATATCCTTCATAGCATTTCTCAAAATTCAAAATTATCATGTTTACTTATTTCATTACTGGTTTACTATTTGTTCTTATTTGAATATAAACTCCATTTGGGCAGAGATGGTATCTGTCTTCTTAGGTATTATATTCCCAGTTTGAAAAGCATAGTGAATACAGAATAAATAAATATTTGTTGAATGAATAAAGAAACAGTTACTGATTCAAAGGTAATTATGATAATAAAATCTAGAGCTTCAGAATTTCCTGAAATGTAGGCTCTACAAATGTTCAAAATATTTTGACTCATTAACTGAGTGGAGTTCTTTGATACTAAGAATGGATTGGCCAAACTAAATTTACTAAATTATCTCTAAAAAGCTGACTAGTTTGAAGTATTTACAATGTTAAAATTCCATAAAGTAAAAATGTCAGCATTAAATCATATTGCCATAGTATCAGAGGTTATTTTTACCATCTTGAAGGTAAGATACTTAGCAGTTAGTTGGTGACAAGGGCTCAAAAAGCACTCTTCTAAAACACAGCTTGACATTTAAAACCTAGCATTTTCAGAACCACACAGAAACATCATCAGTTACAAAAATGGCAGTTTCACATTTTGCCAAATGTGCTCTATGCTACTAGAATTTAAAACTTCCAGTCAGAACTAACCTTCCTTAAACATTTTAAAAACTATTTTCTGATTTAAAAGAATATATCGATCAATTCCTGATCCCCCAAAATGAGCCTGCTTACCTATGTTCAAGTTGGTATTTACTACTTTAGAGACTGAGTCTTCTAACATACACACACACAGTCTATAAGAAAAATTATTTCATTTAAGAAAATCCCACTCTATATGTAATTCATTACAGGCTTTACCAATTAAAAACTGGATGCAACCACGTTGACAGGGTATGGAGAAACCAACAAATCAATCATTGTTAGCAGCAATGTAAATTCGAATAACTTCTACTAAAAGCTAAAATTTGGGGTTTTTTTATATATTTTATTTATTTATTCAACAGAGAGAGAGATCACAAGTAGGCAGCGAGGCAGGCAGAGAGAGAGAGAGAGGAGGGGAAGCAGGCTTCCTGCTGAGCAGAGAGCCCGATGCGGGGCTCGATCCCAGGACCCTGTGATCATGACCTGAGCCGAAAGCAGAGGCTTAACCCACTGAGACACCCAGGCGCCCCTAAAATTTGGTTTTTTAAAAGATTTTTATTTATTTGAGAGAGAGGAGAAAGAGCACGAGCAGGGGGAGGGGTCTAGGGAGAGGGAGAAGAAGACTCCCACTAAGCAGGGAGCCCAACATGGGTCTCAATCCCAGAATCCCGAGATCATAACCCAAGCTGAAGGCAGACACTTAACTGACTGAGCTACCCAGGTGCCCATAAAAGCTAATATTTAAGGACACCCAACAAAATTTAAAAAGATACACACTTTGAAAACAATTCCACTTAGAACAATTTTATCCACACTTATATATGTACGAAATGATGTATATGGTTGAAGAATATTCATTAGAGCACAATTTCATAAAAGAACTAGAAACAGCTTAAATGCTCAACTTACATGCTTAACTTTAACATAGATTCATAAGAGAGAATACTATGGAGACATCAAAAAGAATGAGGCATCCCTTTACATACAAAAATGAAACAAAAGTCTAGACACTAAGTCAAAAATTCAAGAGGCAGAAAAGTAAATATGGTATATAGTGTTATAAAAGATCATTTACACAGAAATATGCAATATGTCTCTAGAAGGATATTCAAGAACCTAAATGTGGTTGCTTTTATGATAAAAAGTGTCCACATAGAGTTCCACTTTTGGGATGAGATCATGAGTTCTGTGGACCCACTCCCCAGAAAATGAGAAAACTTGGCAAAGACTATTTTTAAAAACCCAGCATTTAAAGTCTCTGAAGGATGATCTCAATTCAACAACCTAACCTACTGCTTCAAGAAATTAGAAACAGGAAAGCAAACTAAACCCAAAGTAAGAAGAAAGTACAGGTGACCCTTGAATTACGTGCAGTTAGGGGTGCCAACCCTGGTGCAGTCAAAAATCTGCGTATAACTGTGGCTCCTCAAAAACTTAACTACTGACAGCCTGTTGGCCAGAAGCCTGGCCAATAACATAAATAATTGATAAGCACATACTTTATATGCATTATATACTGTATTCTTACAACAGAGTAAGCTAGAGAAAAGAAAACATTACAACCTTACACCAGTTAGAATGGCTATGACAAGGCAGGACACAACAAATGTTGGAGTGGTTGTGGAGAAAGGGGAACCCTCTTACACTGTTGGTGGGAATGCAAGCTGGTGCAGCCACTCTGGAAAACACTATGGATGTTCCTCTAGGACATTAAAAATAGAGCTACCCTACAACCCAGCAATTGTACTACTGGGTATTTACCCCAATGATACAGATGTAGTGAAAAGAAGGAGCACATGATGTGATGAGCACTGGGTGCTACACGCAACTAATGAATTATTGAACACTACATCTGAAACTAATGATGTACTATATATTGGCTAACTGAATTTAAATGTTAAAAATGTTATTAGGGGCACCTGGGTGGCTCAGTGGGTTAAAGCCTCTGCCTTTAGCTCAGGTCATGATCCCAGGGTCCTGGGATCAAGCCTCGCATCGGGCTCTCTACTCAGCAGGGAGCCTGCTTCCTCCTCTCTCTCTCTCTGCCTGCCTCTCTGACTACTTGTGATCTCTGCCTGTCAAATAAAAAATAAATAAAATCTTTAAAAATAAAAAAATAAAAGTGTTATTATAAAAATCATAAGGAAAATACATTTACAGTACTATGCTGTATTTACTGAAAAAAACCTGCATGAAGTGGATTCATACAGTTCAAACCTCTGTTGTACAAGGG